TGACCTGTCATAGATTGGTGTTTATTGACCTGTCATTGATTGGTGTTTAGTGACCTGTTATATGTTGGTGTTTAGTTACCTGTCATAGATTGGTGTTTATTGACCTGTCATATATTGGTGTGTAGTGACCTGTCATATGTTGGTGTTTAGTTACCTGTCATAGATTAGTGTTGAGTGACCTATTATATATTGGTGTTTAGTGACCTGTTATAGATTGGTGTTTAGTGACCTGTCATAGATTGCTGTTAAGTGACCTGTCATAGATTGGTGTTTAGTGACCTGTTATAGATTGGTGTTTAGTGACCTGTCATAGATTGGTGTTTAGTGACCTGTCATAGATTGGTGTTTAGTGACCTGTCATAGATTGGTGTTTAGTGACCTGTCATAGATTGGTGTTTAGTGACCTGTCATAGATTGGTGTTTAGTGACCTGTCATAGATTGGTGTTTAGTGACCTGTCATAGATTGGTGTTTAGTGACCTGTCATAGATTGGTGTTTAGTGACCTGTCATAGATTGGTGTTTAGTGACCTGTCATAGATTGGTGTTTAGTGACCTGTCATAGATTGGTGTTTAGTGACCTGTCATAGATTGGTGTTTAGTGACCTGTCATAGATTGGTGTTTAGTGACCTGTCATAGATTGGTGTTTAGTGACCTGTCATAGATTGGTGTTTAGTGACCTGTCATAGATTGGTGTTTAGTGACCTGTCATAGATTGGTGTTTAGTGACCTGTCATAGATTGGTGTTTAGTGACCTGTCATAGATTGGTGTTTAGTGACCTGTCATAGATTGGTGTTTAGTGACCTGTCATAGATTGGTGTTTAGTGACCTGTCATAGATTGGTGTTTAGTGACCTGTCATAGATTGGTGTTTAGTGACCTGTCATAGATTGGTGTTTAGTGACCTGTCATAGATTGGTGTTTAGTGACCTGTCATAGATTGGTGTTTAGTGACCTGTCATAGATTGGTGTTTAGTGACCTGTCATAGATTGGTGTTTAGTGACCTGTCATAGATTGGTGTTTAGTGACCTGTCATAGATTGGTGTTTAGTGACCTGTCATAGATTGGTGTTTAGTGACCTGTCATAGATTGGTGTTTAGTGACCTGTCATAGATTGGTGTTTAGTGACCTGTCATAGATTGGTGTTTAGTGACCTGTCATAGATTGGTGTTTAGTGACCTGTCATAGATTGGTGTTTAGTGACCTGTCATAGATTGGTGTTTAGTGACCTGTCATAGATTGGTGTTTAGTGACCTGTCATAGATTGGTGTTTAGTGACCTGTCATAGATTGGTGTTTAGTGACCTGTCATAGATTGGTGTTTAGTGACCTGTCATAGATTGGTGTTTAGTGACCTGTCATAGATTGGTGTTTAGTGACCTGTCATAGATTGGTGTTTAGTGACCTGTCATAGATTGGTGTTTAGTGACCTGTCATAGATTGGTGTTTAGTGACCTGTCATAGATTGGTGTTTAGTGACCTGTCATAGATTGGTGTTTAGTGACCTGTCATAGATTGGTGTTTAGTGACCTGTCATAGATTGGTGTTTAGTGACCTGTCATAGATTGGTGTTTAGTGACCTGTCATAGATTGGTGTTTAGTGACCTGTCATAGATTGGTGTTTAGTGACCTGTCATAGATTGGTGTTTAGTGACCTGTCATAGATTGGTGTTTAGTGACCTGTCATAGATTGGTGTTTAGTGACCTGTCATAGATTGGTGTTTAGTGACCTGTCATAGATTGGTGTTTAGTGACCTGTCATAGATTGGTGTTTAGTGACCTGTCATAGATTGGTGTTTAGTGACCTGTCATAGATTGGTGTTTAGTGACCTGTCATAGATTGGTGTTTAGTGACCTGTCATAGATTGGTGTTTAGTGACCTGTCATAGATTGGTGTTTAGTGACCTGTCATAGATTGGTGTTTAGTGACCTGTCATAGATTGGTGTTTAGTGACCTGTCATAGATTGGTGTTTAGTGACCTGTCATAGATTGGTGTTTAGTGACCTGTCATAGATTGGTGTTTAGTGACCTGTCATAGATTGGTGTTTAGTGACCTGTCATAGATTGGTGTTTAGTGACCTGTCATAGATTGGTGTTTAGTGACCTGTCATAGATTGGTGTTTAGTGACCTGTCATAGATTGGTGTTTAGTGACCTGTCATAGATTGGTGTTTAGTGACCTGTCATAGATTGGTGTTTAGTGACCTGTTATAGATTGGTGTTTAGTGACCTGTTTAAGATTGGTGTTTAGTGACCTGTTATAGATTGGTGTTTAGTGACCTGTTATAGATTGGTGTTTAGTGACCTGTTATAGATTGGTGTTTAGTGACCTGTCATATATTTGTGATAAGTGACCTGTCATATATTTGTGATAAGTGACCTGTCATATATTTGTGATAAGTGACCTGTCATAGATTGGTGTTTAGTGACCTGTTATAGATTGGTGTTTAGTGACCTGTCATAGATTAGCGTTTAGTGACCTGTCATAGATTGGTGTTTAGTGACCTGTTGTATGATTCATTTGATGACTTCATGATATATGACATTTAAATAAGGAAAAATGTCCTTAATTATTTATATTTACAGAGTTGGAGCCATTTAGATGAGCATGCTATTGATAAAACATGGTTTGATAAACCCCAAGTCGGGGATACCTACACCCTCGAACTGTGTTCTCGGTCAATTCGTTGGCCTTGGGTTGATAAAACCATACATAACTTCATCAATATGTGGTTAATATTATAAATCATCTCAGATCGACTATCCTTCATAGTGAAATTTCTGGCTGGTTGTTTCTCATCAAGTCTGACAGACACACTTTGTATAATACTATAAATATTTATACGAACTATTTTTATGATTTATAGTTAATACCTTGTATGAGGAATATATTAATGAAAGCGACATTTAGATATAAAAGTTGTCGATCAACAGCACTGATATTTTAGTGATTAATATTCCATTGAAGCATGTCTATTGATATTTTATGGTGAATTAGCAATGGATACGAACGTGATAAATATCGATTTCAGATTTACACTTGTCTAGGTCAGAACTGCAAAGAAATCATTTCAGCCACGTTTATTAGAGTCAATATTGGAAAACTTGATATCCGACCTGGAGTGTACTTAATGACATCTGTTTGTAGGATGTTCTCCGTGCGATTGTTATTGTATGACAAATTGTGTTGACGTCTGACACGTGAAGAATGTAGGAAACAATCGTTAGTACCGGCGTTACGTAACAGTCGAGGTAATGTCCCAGCCTACTGCAGCCTCCCTGACAGTCATGGATGAGTCAGGGCTTCCCATATCGCCAATCCTTCTTTTCCAGCATGCCGCAGTCTGTCTAACGTATAAAGCCAACAGACTCAGGCGCTGGACCGGACCACAGGATAGCTGAGTCTGGCTCCACACAGTAAACAGTCACAGCAAACTGTACACGTTCTGCTCGCTTTGTAGTGAACACTTTTTGAATTGTGTTGTGTAAGAGACTCGGATTATATAATCAACCATGGCGAGTTTCAATGGAAAATGGGAAATTCAAAGCAGCGACAATTTCGGCGAATACATGACCGCTATAGGTATGTATATATAATAATATATCATGATATCAAATCATGGATTGGTTTTCCTTTCAATTTTTAAATTGATTGATGGGTAACTTACTAAATAAGCATTTTTTTACTTTTTATACGTCCATCAAATTTGATGGTAGTATTATGGTATGGCGTTGTCAATCTGTCTGGCCGGCCGGCCGGCGTAAACTTTTGTTTGTCCGGCAATCTCCTCCTACATTTTTTGAACGATCTCTTTGAAACTTGGTATACATTATAATCATGATATGAAATGGTGTCTCCCTTAAAAGAATTTTGATTCGACAATTTTTCCAAAAGTCATTGCCCTTTGTTCATTTTAGTATTTGATTTTTTGTCCGGAAATCTCCTCCTACATTTTTAAACGGATTTCTTTGAAACCTAGTAGGCTTAATAATCATGACATGTTGTTGTGTTTCCTTGAAAAGAATTTTGATTCGACAATTTTTCCAAAAGTTATTTATCTTTGTTTATTTCAGTATTTGATTTTTTGTCCGGATATTTTCTCCTACATTTCTTATAGCATGTCAGCTAACCACTCTTAGAATGATGAATATCTTATTTCAATGTAAGAAAGTACATGTAAATAGAGTTTTAAAATAAACAGTTATAGACTAGCCTGCTGGCGACACAGTCTAGATCGTACACCGTGTTAATCGCCAAAATCGAGCATCTATCCTCCTCCTCCTCCTCCTCCTCCTTCGATCCACCGGGCTGTGACAGAATTATTACATACGAACATAATCTTCTCTTTTTTGCATAAATTTCCGCGGATGGTAGTATTTTTAAAGCCGGTAAGTGTTTTTCTATATTAAATTTATTCACCAAGGCTAGATATTAATCGGAAAATGACAAGTTTTTATACAAAGTATTTTTGGATTGGCGGTTAGTTACTGAACTAGTTAGTGTCAGTAACGGCGGTGTGTATATTGTAAGGTAAGTAGTACTATACTATTGTAGATGAATGTACCAAGATAATAGGTCATACAGGCGTTGCAACCTATCACTATAGCAAGTCTCTCAGCATTGTTGATTTGAGAAAACATTATTGCCCAGACACCTACAGGCATAAATGTTTGACCACTCACTGACCGACTTATCAGACCGGTAACACCACCACCTCCAACATCTCTACGATATGAACGAGGAAACCACACTGATAGACGGCAAAGGGGCTCGGACGTCGGTTTTAGACGGCGAAGGGGCTGGACCCACGGATTGAGACGGCGAAGGGTTTCGGACCACGGTTTGAGACTGCGGAGGGTCTCGGAACACGGTATGAGAGGGCAGAGGGTCTCGGACCACGGTTTGAGAGGGCAAAGGGGCTCGGACCACGATTTGAGAGGGCAAAGGGGCTCGGATCACGATTTGAGACGGCGAAGGGGCTCAGACCACGGTTTGTGCCGGTGAAAGGGCTCGGACCACGGTTTGAGAGGGCGAAGGGGCTCGGACCACGGTTTGAGCCGGTGAAAGGGCTCGGACCACGGTTTGTGCCGGTGAAAGGGCTCGGGCCACGGTTTGAGACGGCGAAAGGGCTCGAGCCATGGTTTGTGCCGGTGAAAGGGCTCGGACCACAGTTTGAGACGGCGAAAGGGCTCGAGCCATGGTTTGTGCCGGTGAAAGGGCTCGGACAACGGTTTGAGACGGCGAAAGGGCTCGAGCAATGGTTTGTGCCGGTGAAAGGGCTCGGACAACGGTTTGAGAGGGCAAAGGGGCTCGGACCACGGTTTGAGCCGGTGAAAGGGCTCGGACCACGGTTTGTGCCGGTGAAAGGGCTCGGACCACGGTTTGAGACGGCGAAAGGGCTCGAGCAATAATTTGTGCCGGTGAAAGGGCTCGGACCACGGTTTGAGACGGCGAAAGGGCTCGAGCAATGGTTTGTGACGTTTTTGACGTGTTCTGATTTGTTCTCTCCGCACTTCTATACTAACTTTGGCCTTTTTACTCGTCAGTGAAATAAGCGACGTCAGTGAAATAAGTTCTTTCACCTAGATCCCGCGTTAAGAAATATACTTAAAGCTCCCTTACATCTGCTGCAATACGGTTTTAATTATTGCATTTCAGGGGTATGAATGCATGCTATATTTTGCCCTCCGCCACCCGAACGAATCAAACGGTTATTCTCATTCTGTGCGAACCTCTTCCAAAGATTAGAATATGTATAGTACTTCAGGGGCGGATCCAGGATTTCCTAAAACGAGGAGGGGGAGGTTACGGGAGGTGTTCTTTCCCCTGCCGTAACGGGGGTTTGGGGGATCTCCCCCGAAAGATTGTGTTTTCTAGAACGTCTCAGAAGCGATTTCCCGTGTTCTGAGGATTGTTTTTATGTCTAATTAACAAGAAGAAAAAAACATTTTTAAGTATCGCCCAAAGTCTTTTTTTGTGTAATGGAAAGAAAATTAAAGTTTCGGTTCAAATTCTCTATCAACAGCGTGTTTTTGAATTCAGATGGTATTTTCATAGGGGCAACCTGGTGATGACAAATGTATGAATCCACAGGGGGCTTGTTCATTATTACCTAATTTGGCGTCCCGCCCGCAAGGGGGATACGAGAGGTCCACCGTCAAAAAATAAATGTAGGGACGCACAATATCTAGTCTTCAGACATTGTACCTACAGTACAGTACTTCATGTAATAGTTTGTCGTACAAAAGAACCCCAAATAACACCATAACATCGTTGCTGTTTAATTAATGAATTACTCATGGCATCACTAAGTTGCTAAACAAACGGATAATTTCAAATCAGTGCGACACCCAAGGCCACTAGCTANAGCGTTTAGTGACCTGTCATAGATTGGTGTTTAGTGACCTGTTGTATGANAGTATTGTCAGCCGAAAAAAACCCTTTATCGTTCTTGTATATTGATATGATTAATATCGCCCGGGCGGTTAGGAAGGTTACAATAAAAAATATTAATTTTCAGATCATCTATAACGAGCGGTCAATAATATAATTATGCAACTTATGCTAGAATATTTCCGCCGAGCGTTGCAACTTTGGGTTTTGCGGAGGTGGTAAAATTAAAAACACTATTTTGACTTTAGGGTCAAGATACAAAGTAGACGAGCGTAGCGATGCCAACAAATATTGTTTTAATAAAGAAAATATAGTAAAATTTCATATAACGGAAACCCCCACTATTTGCTAAGATGCCGTATGGGATGTGTGGGGCGTAGCCCCAGATTTTTTTTATACAAGCTCCGTGCATTATTTGATGCATTTTAAAAGGTTTACAGGGTCACCTTTACCAGGGACTTGTCTGTCAGAGCTTTCTGTAGGAAACTGACAGGAAAAAACAACCTACTTTGTGGCAGCCAGAATCAGCTCTTCCTTGCATTCCAAAGACCGATATTTATCAACGCACACGTTAAACAAACGGTAAAATAAAATTCCACTTACGAAATCAGACAGTATGTTGAGACTACGGGAGATTGCATAATAGAATGTCTTGGAACTGAAATACCGGAGTTGCATATATTAACAAGATATCGATATATTTAAAAGCTGGAGCCAAATAATACTTCCCAGATACAAACAAACTTGCCAGGAAAAGCATTCTTGTCATGTTTTCGTCGGACGTTTTATATTTTAGTGGAAATTGGCAATGTCGGTAGTCAGAAACAAATCAAAATGCTAATTAAAGACCTGGAACAGGAGATCGGTAAAGATCACAACGGTCTATCTCTTCGTTCTGGTTTCATCTTTATACCCCTCAGTTCGGTTGTGGAAGTTTTACTCCCTCCCCCCGCTCGTGCTGATAATGAGTGGACCTTTGTGCTGTGTATGGTTGATAGCAGCTCCATAAACTCGCTACTTGTGTAAATTACACCCATGCCGTGTTATCTCTGTAGAATCAGTGAGATGGGAGAGTTGAAATGATGCTTACATTATTTCTAGTTAGTCGAGGGTATCAGATACATATGGGTCAACATCAATTTATTTCAGAAAAAAATAACTTCGCCACGTGCACACTCGCTCTCTTCATCATCGGAATGCATGGGGTGGAACAAACGCACGCTTAAAGAGGTCGCGTGCCTTTTGCTTGTTTTCATTTGTTCTACATTTTTCCTTAGAAGGACGAGCCAGGCGTAGTAATTCAACTAGATTTGATAACATGTGTTGATAAAATGCAAAAATTGAAATTTAACTCAATAACTAAAATTAGTCACTAGTTTAGGGGAACAATGGGGTCACTTAAACGGAGGATAAGGTGTTTTGTAAGAACTACACTGACATTTGCAAATAAGGGGCGGATTTATGAGATATAGGAAAGTTTCATCAGCTGTATTCACTTGTGTACATACGTGATGTATCGATAGCACAGGTCAAATATAATTTCAATCGGTTGACGGTAGGAATTGCTAGGATGTAATTATTTTCTCTTTGGTATGAGGTACGCCAATAGGTGGCGCTTTTGGTGGTTTTTGCACGTGCCAATGGGCTGGGTTGTTACCTTTACATGTCATTCAGGCGACAATGGTAACAAGAAGCACACGTGTATTTTTAATTTTTAAATGGGGTTATTATATTGAGATTAACAGGTTAGGAGTTATATGTTTGTGTGTGAGATGTACATTATTGTGTAATTGTGTTTATCAGTCGTGGTGATTGTAAATAAACATCGGTCAGTGCCTATGTCGCTTGGAAATACAGTTTTTGTATTCGAGTTGTTTATCCTATTGGATAATATAGAAGAGAATAGTCATTACTTATGATATCACTTGGATATCACATACCACGTGATCAATATGTAAGCGCGTGCCAGCCTTACAACGCCACCAGTGATAACAAAATGAAACAATCATCCAACCTGTTAAATGACACTCATTTAAAGAGGGAAGCACGTGCTCCAGTGGTATACTAGCAATAGAAGCCATCATGTGTGAGATCTTCAATGACAAGTTCTATCTTTGTCTGTAAGACTTCCGCTAAAGGCTCCACAGCGACTTCCGGAAGTATTCGTAAGAAATTTTTTTGTGCGAAAG